ATACACATATCTTATCAGAGACGTACGCAGTTATTCCCATGGGAGGACCCCAAGCGGAAATCAACGCACGTGTTCCCAAGGGAGGACCCCAAGCGGAACCAGAACATATCAGAGGCGTACGCAGTCATTCCCAAGGGAGGACCCCAAGCGAAAATCAACGCACGTGTTCCCAAGGGAGGACCCCAAGCGGAACCAGAACATATCAGAGGCGTACGCAGTCATTCCCAAGGGAGGACCCCAAGCGGAAATCAACGCATGTGTTCCTAAGGGAGGACCCCAAGCGGAAATCAACGCACGTGTTCCCAAGGGAGGACCCCAAGCGGAACCAGAACATATCAGACGCGTACACCGTCAATCTCAGGGGAACCCAAGAAGACATCAGTGTACCATACAATCCATAGCCAAAGATCAATACAGAAATCATATCAAAACCAGTCATATAACAAATGTGTACACAGTCAATCCCAGGGGAGAACCCCAAGTGGGAATCAGTGTACGTGTTCCCAAGGGTGGACCCCAAGTGGAACTCAACAAAACATATCATATTAACACATATCAAAGTAAACACATCAACACAAAACATATCATATTATCATATAGCTCTATATGAATGCATCTATATCATATATCTCATACATATCATACAACCCGACCACAGTCCGTACACTATGGCGGAACACAAAGTAGGAGCGAACCCCATAAACATAGAGCTTACCTCTTGAAGCTTTACCAATCTGCTCACTTGTAACACAAGTTACCGATTTAGCTCCAAAGGCAATTCAAACCCTCTCAGTCCCTAGCCACACCTAGAGAAAGAATTCAAAACAAAATCAATAAAATGCTACAATGCCATGAAATTTACACAAGGCATACATCTTATTGCTTACTTTCATTTTTTTACACTTATGCTAAATCTATGCCAATACACAAGTCATATACTAATTCCTTTCAAACTTACATATAGAACCCCAAAGCTAGTTAGCATAAAACCACTAACTCTTAGTGGGCATTTCTCACTTTACATGGACTTATCATGTCCTCAACATAACTTACAAATCATAATTCCAAGTCCAATACAATTCCAACCCATTTACTTCTTTAAGGGTTGAAAATGACACATATAGGTGTGTTCATGACTTTTTCTCAAGCTATCTTTTGTTAACAACCATTCCCTTCATCACTACATCGAATATCCATCATCATCTCTTATTTAAATATCACCAAATACCTCATTTGTACCTATTTCATGATGAGGGCAGATTTGCACTCATAAGTGTTTATCATATTTTTTTCATGCTTTTCTTTCCTTTATTTCTCACTTCACATAACTCCAATTAAGTAGATAATGATTAACCAACCTCAAGACACATAACACACATTCAAACATATTAAAGCATGATATTCCTTGTTCTTTTTCCTCTTGGCCAGAATACATATATATAGGAACAATGTCTTTTTCTTTAACTTTCATCATTTTTACCAATCCTAATTCACACCACTTATCAATAATTACATACAAGGTATTATTTTCACTTTGGCATTTCATCAAACACTTGGTCTCCCCTTTTATTGTACATAGGCTGAATTATACATGAGAGGTAGGCCATCCATTTTCTCAAATTTCAACATCCATTCTCAATAACTTTTCAACTACTACGAACAACAATTCATCATCAATTTCAAATTCAAACTAAATTATTTCCCACCAAAATATGCTCACAATTATCAAGACTTAAATCACAAACATAGAACCATAGAATTAGAGGTTTCTTACCTATAGTTGCTATTCCAAGCTCCAAAGAACAAAACCTAAGCTTTTCTCACTCAAAAACCCCACTTATTCACAAGGATGAATAGTGCCACGAATTAGGGGTGATGAATAACTCTCTCCACAAGCCAAATCAGCCCAAATAGAGTGGTGAAATGGATTCACTAGCTTTTTCCTAGAATTTTCATGTATGGCATCATGACTTTTGGTGACAAAATGAGTGAGAAAGAGAGGAGAGAGAGAGACCAAAACTCTAACCTTGTAAAACCATGGAAATGTCGAGCACAGAGAGAGAAGGATACGGGAACATCAGCGCGCGTTGGAGAAAAATAAAGGAATTTACGGTGTGTAAATTTATGTTACTTTGCACACTAGTTCAGAATATTTTTATGGTAATATTTATAATTTTATTTTTTACTTTCGGGTAACTTTATTTACCCGCATTTTTACTCTTTAACTGTCATTTTAACTCCTTTTTCACCAAAGGTGACTTTATTTCTTTTTCTCTATAATTATTCTTCAATGTTAAATCTATAATTAAATGAGGGTCATTATATGAAGTGTCCCAAATTGATTAAGAATCTAAAAAAAGATGCTAGCAGCATAAAATGTTTTTGCCTTATTCCTGCAACAAGTCATCACAAATGTAATGCTTAAAAAACTGACCACAGACAAAAATAATGCTCAAAAGAAAAGACAGAAAGGAGTATGAACAACCATTTGGCAAAAGACAGATATTTAGTGAGTAGGAAGAGTGAGTAACTAAGTTACTTGTAAGGAAGGAACAATAAAGTGTAGACTGTAGAGAATAAGATTAACTTAGGCCAAACAAATAAATAAAGGTAAACAAAGGAACACATGAGAAGGAAGAAAGCTCTAATTTCTCACACCGAAAGAGTAAATATTTTTTAGGTGCTCAGGCTTCTTATTATAATATTGAGAATGACATTAATTTCTATGGTTATATTGCAAGACATTGAGTACAAAGTCAATTGCCATGACTCATGAATATGTTGGTGGACAGATGGTGACATGAAAACAGCTATAAATAAGATCAATCTTCCATCAAGGTTGATTTACTAAACACTCTTCTGAATGGATTTTGGAATACTCAAGCCTTCAAAACTTCTCCCTAAGGATTGCAATATAAATAGAAAAATAAGATGGAAGAATGCAACCAGGAAGAAGTCCTCCATCCATACACACACCGTATCTTGCCCTCCTAAACATGTATATCCAACATACTACATGAATAACAAACATAGAGAAAAGCATCCACTAAAGAATTGTGATTCCTCCTACACCTCAACAAAAAATTCAGCTTGAAGGCATCGAAACCAACAGGATAGCTGCAGTAGATAAAACTAAAACCATAAATGATACACATTTTTCTCATATTTCATATTGATTAATGTTGAATATGTAAAGTAGCGGATGGTAATATAGTGTGTGTATCAGGTAGTAGAGGAAGCTCGGATTTAATCCTTTAATAGAAAAGGTTTATACCGATGAGTTTTGGTTTGATTTTGTAATAGATAAAACCTATGATCCATATTTAGAATTAGGATTAGGTTGGATCCTCATATTTTAAAGAGTGAGGATATTCTAACTACCAAAAATTCTTATTACTAACTTACTACTCATCACATCACCGTTGGATCAAAGAAAGAGAATGTTAAAAAAAATTTGAAAAGAGAGAAAATGTTAATCTAATGGTGATTAGATATGTAGTAAGTTGGTAGTGAAAAATTTTGGTAGTGAGAATATCTCTCCTCTATTTTAAAACATGTAAAATGTGGATTCAGAATCATCGTCTTTCTAGAAATTATATATTCTAAAGGAGCAATTTATTAAGAAAAAAAATTAATGTTTAATGCCTTGCAAATTACATATGGTTTTAAATTTTTATTAATTTTAAATAGTTTTAATTAATTTTATTTAGATTTTGAATAAATGATTTTTTATCTTTTTATGTTTAAATTTAGTTTTCAATGTGCTTTAGAATAATTTGGATTAAATATATTAAATGAAATATCAACCGCTATCACGTTGGCTCATTAAAATTAAAACAATATTCTTAAAAAATTAAAATAAATTTGAAAAAGTTAGAAAAAAATAAAATAAAATTCAGAATTTGGGTCGGGTTCAACGAATTTATATGAAGATCGCTGTTGCTCATGGATATAAAATGAGACTCCTGAAAATTACAAGTGATTGAAGTATGAGCTATTTATATGCAGCTTGCTCACAAACTTTGACGAATCATATGCGTCCACGTTCAACATCTAACAGTTGATATTAACCATTCTCTTCTCTTATTTAATTAATTAACAGTAAAACAGAATAATAACTGCCAACTGCTCATAACTAGTCTCCGGTGATAAGCTCATGAACGCTCGAGTGGACGAGCTCCCTAGCGGAGATAGGACTTCAGTGTTCTTATCCAAAGATCATAGGAAAATATCATTATCAATATTCAATAGGCACTCGCTTTTATAGTAAGTTTAAATACATTGGATAGGAATTGCAACAGTACTGATAATAGATAAGGTGCAATATGTTATTATATTTAAGAATATGGATAATGCATGTATGTATAATTGCAACAGTTTAAATATTTATGGATAAATGAATTGTCATGTTACATAATATAACAAGACATTCCTACTCTCGCAATTATATGTGGGCCCCATTTTTTAATTTTTCTCTCTCCACTCTTCTCTTTCCTCTCTCCTCTACATGTGAGAGTAAGAATTGTTATGTTACAATCATGTAACATAACAATTCATTTACCCAATATTATTGGATAGGAATTGCAGGAAGGAAGAATATGTTGCATAATGCATGTCACAATAGTTGGCCCACTCAATTAGATACAACACTCTTATATGTTCATCATTTGAGAAAAAAATAGAAAATTAAAATTCAAACTTTAGAGTAACTTAGTAATTAATTAACTTGACTCAAGACATAGGTAAAAAGCCATAAATTCAAATGATTGGAGGTGAATATTTTGACAAAAAGAACCACAAATTCATATTTGTCCACACATAGGATGAATGGGAAAGAAGCCAAGGAGATTGGAGCCTTCTGATTCAAAAGGCAAGACTACCATTCTGCATCTAATCCTTTATATATGAAAGAGCATCTCAAGTGATAAAGCAACATGTATTCAGAAAACCTCTAAATGACACATACAACATACACATCTCATAACAGTTTCTCTCCAATTACTTGTCACTAACAGATTATATTCCTACAACCTATGAAGCACCGACTCCGACACGGCGTTTTTGATACGTTCCTGATATGTTCTCGATACGACCGTTAATTCGTCGATACGATACAATACGTTTCCGATACGCGTATCGGATACGTTGGAAAAAAAATTCGGAGTATCGGTGCTTCATGCCTACAACAGTAACTAGTAATATGAGAATGTTACAAAGATGACATTATGGTGTTGAAAATACAGATCTCACTAGGGTGAAGTTGGGACTGGTTCAGTACCAGAAACATGGGAAGCAGCATCTTCTTTTGATATGGACACATGATTCATGGGAGCAACAGGTCTAGTATTATCCCTTTTTCCATCTTTTGTTGTTGACCTACTTCCATTTTGATTAAGAGATAGCCGTCGGTTAGGAGTACCATTTGCTCCTCCATTAGGACGAGGACCAACTACCTTCTTGTTGCCAACTGGCCTAGCAGGGCTTGGTCTTGGACTAAAGACAGGTTCCTGCTCTGTGCTTTGCTGCTCATGATACTTTTTCTGGTCCTACAGAATGTTAAGTGCAAGAGTATACAATAAGTATAATGGTGAACAGAAATAGACCAAGATCAAAGTTCACTTTTGCTAACTTATCTCATTAGTAAGCGCTCAAATTAATCTGAAAATCAGCATTACCAAAACTTACCCTCATCCTTCGTTTTTCCTCTTCCCTATCATGCCTGAGCATAGCATATTCATCTAACATAGCAAGAAGAGGAACACCATCATATGTGAATGACATGTCGTGTGCTTCTTCCCAAGCCTGAGTTTTAGCAACCAAAGTATCAACCAAAGCTGCATTTTTCACCAAAAAAAAAAAAAAGAAGTTATTCTGGGCCCTTGCATGCCAAGAAACCATGATAGTACACTGGTATCTGTCGGTAAATCATAGATTACAAGTTCATGCAATTCCATCTGCTACCAAATCAATTGTTAAGTTCCACAAGATGGGAGTTAATGCAATATCCTTAGTTGTCAACTCAAGACAATTCAAAAGCATCTACTTGATTTGCATAAATCTCACCAACCAATAATGATGACAATCCATCCTTGATTCGTGTAAAAGTATTCACACAAAAAATTAGTTACACATGAAAATGTGCAGGTATATTTCATCCTCAATCTGAAAATAAAAAATGGTAATAATTTATTTACGAATGTTTAAAAAGTTTTACATTAGCATTGACCATATAGTGCCACCTATTCAAAAAATTAAAATCTTTTACTGCAAGTAAAACAGTAAGTCACTCCAATGAGGTGTCACCTTGTTTTCTAATAGTAGTGGATTGAATGAATGAATAATAGTTTCTGATGGTTGTTTAGTCACGTTAAACAAATACCTGGAATTTTGTTGACCAGTACCCGAGCTTTCTCTGCACGTTTGAGGTTTAAATGTGCACCTCTACTTGCATTATACCTGTTTTCATCCTGTTTAACAATGTAGTGTCAGAGGGGGAAAAAATGATTCTAATGGCAAACATGACATAACCATTTTACATAAATGATGGTCAATTGCCAGATAAGCTAAACCTAAATTTTATTTACTTTCCTACATGGCAACAACTGGGCAATACACATTTCTATTATCTTATCAAGTAGGAAATCACATAGACTGAATAGATCATGAATAGATCGTTAAACACAAAAACTTACATTAAAGATCTACATTCTACACTTAGCCATCAAGGTGTGCAAATTGGTGTGTGCAGATAATTATCATTGCCAATTTCTGCCTAGAATTAGGTGACCTAAAAACTTTGTTGATATAGGATAATTGCACCATAGCAAAGCCTATTGTAAACAAAAAGAGCATGAAAGCCTTTTTAGTTCCATTTTTATTACCGTAACTTAATATACTCAAATTAAATTTCACGGGAAAGAATAGTATAAAATAATATTTAACCCTTGCCTCACGTGAAAGAATAGTAAAATGGGGTATTTAACAATTGCCTATATCAGGACAAAACAAAATTCATTAAAACATGACAGGAGTATGCCCATCAAAAGTGCCCATTATTCTTGTAAATGAAGCCAAACAATGAGGAAAGTATATGTAGTATATAAGAGATTACATTAACATTCCACTCCATCAAAATGTCACTCAAGTAACATCATCAGGTCTCATAATGATATTGCTGTATTATAGTAATATAGTGATATTCATCATTGCACTGCCTATAATAAATCTGCCAAAGTTCTCACCACAACGATATCAGTTTATAAGTTTAAAGGATTACAGTTTTATTAGCATTATCCTAAAAGTTCAGATCATAATGGTACTATTTTAACTCTCCCACCAAAGATGTATACACCCAACCACAGAGACACACAAATAGAATGAAGATGGTAGATTATAAATACCCGATTATAGTCTTCAAGCCAACTCTCTTCTTCACATGCTGACATCCATTTCTCAATCTTGTCCAATATGTCTTTTCGGCTCAAAGCTTCTTCTTTTGCATTTGCTATCTGTTTGTCCATGTCAGCCAGTAATTCAGATGGTTCAATGTTTCCAGAATCAATCAGTGACAAAATCTTCTCTCGAGCAACTTCTGGGTCAATTTCCATATGAGCACAGGCAAATATCTCTTCAAGTTCAGCTTGCTTCTTGAAAGCAATTTCTTTCATCCTGCTGGCTTTCAGCTGATCAAGCCTTTCCACTTCCACTACAGCCTTCATAACAAAGAACAAGAAAAAATCAGTAAGCATCATTTATGAAGCACAACTCTGTAAACTTCAGAAAGTCATTATTAGTACCTGCTCAATCAGATCCAAAGCAAGGGCCCCAGGAACAGTGACTTCATCTACAGAATTTGACATATTACAAGTAACATGGTCAAATAGTCTTCTTTCCTCTTGAGGGGTATCCATTAGATTCCACAGATCAATTAACTGAGAAGCTAATTCTTGGAGCTGCAAAGGAAATACAAGTCAAAGTCAGCTAATGCAGATTAAAATTCAATCATAATTGAATACACGATGATATCATCACTTTTGAGGTGCCGAAGATAGAATTTATGGTAATTCCTTGTATAAAATCTCTGGTTTTCCAAAAACAGTAACCTTTGAAGCAGCTGAACCTAGCACCCATACTATAAGTAACAAAGCATGAACGAATGAAATAAAACAAATGAGCTAGCATACAGTATTTTAAATGCATTACCTTGTACAACCTCTGCTTTTTATCTTCTTTAAGTGTTAAGACTGTCTTAGCCAGCCTAGCTAGGGTGCCATTGCTTATGCTTTTGGAATGAACATTGGTAGAATCATTTAAACTTGGATGAACCTCAGTCACGATACTGAAGAAATCCATACCAAGGACAGTACAAAGATCATGCACAGTACTCACAAATTCAAGAACCTTGTGCAACCTCTCACTCTGCAAGGCAAATCAAAGTAACAAAACTCTCAAAATGTTGATTAGTGAATCAACAAACTTTTCAAAATTTAGAAAAATTGATACATAGTTTGATGGTATAGCCGAGTTACCTTTTCCTTTTGAAGTTCTTGGAGTTGGGATTGATATTCATCTAACTTCTTGAGGGACAGGTCAGATTCATCAACTGCAAATGTTCCTGTCTGATCAGGGTTCAATTCCCCAGTTATCTCTCCACATATTTTTTGGATCTGTGACTGTACATCTGAAAATTCCTTTATTCTTTCCTCCTTCAGTTGCCATAACTGTTCCAGTACTGGTACTATAGCTGCAAGCTGTTCCTTGATAGTACCTGAAGTTTTTTCAGGCTGCAAAGAAACCAAATATGCATGGGAAACTAGTTAGCTAGTTCACTATCTAAATGGAGCACAAAGTTATATTGCAATTGTTGGTTGTTGCCGTTATAAGGATATATTTAATTAGTTACTGACAATTCCCGTGAAGCTCTTTTCACCAAGAGCTGATAGAAGACTAGAAAGCTCAAGTTCAGCATCAGACAAGGATCGAAGTAGCTGTAACCTCGACTTAGCAGCCTGCTCAACCTTTCTTTTGTACACATCCAAGCACTCCTGCTCTAACTGAAGAAGCATCTTGTCTCGCTCTTCATCATTCTCACCAACCTCATCCCATATTTCCTACAACAGATAGAGATAACCTCATTGTTCTATAGAACATGCACATCTGCAGTGACACAGATGAAAAGCTTGATAAAGTTACCCGCAGCTTATTTAACAAGGAACCGCAGGTGTCTTCTCCAAGAAGAGGATTTTGAGCATCTGTCACTGCCATTGTTCCAGCGCAACCTAGCCTAAGGATGGAAAAAAAATCATATGAAATTTGTTTCTCCTTCACCCACACATAGGGGAACACAAGCATCTATTCTTTTGAAAAAGAACAGAAGAAACAAGCAGGTATCAAAAAACTCCAACATATCATTTGTACATCTTATTCTGGGGACAAAGAACTAGTAAATGTACGAATATAAATGATGACTTCAAATAAGGTTCTCATGAAAGAAAGATACACCAAAAAGTTTCTAAATTGTTTTGTTTTTCTAATAAGGTTCTAAATTGTTAAATTCAATGAATTGCATCTGCTAAGAAAATCTCCAAACAGAAACACCAAATCTGGACTCCATTCAGCATAAAAGCATAATGCAATACCCAGTTACACAAACTAAACACACTGCGGACAAGATCACAGCAAATGAACAAAATGAGTTACACTTTAACCGAATGACACATTCCACACAAGTCACCTCTCCTCGATAGATTTAAAATTCAAGCAAACCCACTTCTAAAGCGGCAAAATTTCACCCATTTCTGCAACATTCTCCAAGAACAATGTCAATAAGAAGGATCAGACAGGAAACTAAAAGAAGCAGAAAGTCAATTCTTCCATAGCACTAAATTAACACAATTACAACCTCAATCAGAATCCTAGAAAACAGAAAAACCCTCTCCATCAAGCTACATTGAACTTCACAGTCAATGACAACCCCAAGAAGAAGAAAAAAGCTAAAAATAAAAAATTAAACATAATATTCACGAGGAAAATGCACAATCAAGTAGGAACAAGTTAACACCTAGCATTGACAAGGCAAGAGTAGGAAACAAGTGGACTTCCTTTGAGGCTTAAGGGAGTGTTGAGGCTCTATGGTTTCAGATCTAAGAGAGAGAGAGAGAGAGTTTGTGTGACACAGGATCTGTGTGTGAGATCTTTGTGTACAAACGACAAACGGACAAAGATTGAGTGTGCCACTGTCTTTTGAGTGTCCGGTAATTCAATTAGTTTATTGCCCGCGTCTTAGCGGGTATTTACGGATATGACACTGTGCCACTTTGCTGTTATTTTGATTGTATTCTAATTTTTTCTGAAAAATATATATTTTATAAAATAATTAATAAAATAAATATTTTTTCTACTTTTTATTTTAAAAACTAAAATATAAAAAATTATACAAATATATTCTTTAAATTTGATTTTAAAAATTAAAAAATAATTATGATTTTAGAATTATTTTTATAAAATAAATCTTATCAAATATTTTTTTTTATTTTTTTCCAAAATTAAAGTAATAAATTATATTTGTAATTTTTTAATTTATAAATTAGTTTAAGTATTTTTGAAAATATATAATTTTTTTATAAGAGTTTATTTTCAAAATTATATAATTAAATTTATAAATGTTTGTAAATAATAAATTTGTAAATATAATTTTTTTTGAATTAAAATATTAATTTCAAAAACAGTAATCAATGAAGCCGGCAAAACTGCTTTTTTGTTTACTTGGTTTCTCATTGCGTCAAAAAGCGAGTTTAACGGGATCGCTATTTAACTAGACGAGTGAAAATAAAAAAAAGTTAACGCCATTGTTACGCAGAGTAAACATATGATTAATAACGTGCATTAATTAATTGATATAATTTAAAAAAAAAATCTAGTAATATGCTCTTAATGCCCAACTAATGAAACATTATTTAAATTTATTTTGACAGATAATTAATTTAATATACGTGAGATATACGAGAGAAATTGTTTCTATGGATATCATTACTCCTCTCAATTTTACCTCATTTTATTTCTATTATTTTGTGACTCTCATTAACTCTTGTTTTGACTCTATAACTGAATATTTTGGAACCGAATTCTCTCTTGCTTTAATAGGATTAATCGTTTATAATTTTTAATAAATAAATAACTAGCAATTAAAATTACAGTCATAATCATAACCAGTTACTTTTAATTTGTCAAAGAGTGAAACAGGTGTCAATTAGTGCCATTGAAAGCAATTGGTAATCAATGAAGATGACTTTGACACTTTAGTACCATCTGGAATAGCAAAGGTCACGTGTCACGTGTGACCCTTGAGAAGGGAAAAGCTATATTGATGATTTCTATAAAAAATATAAAAAATTTAATTCCGTTGGAGAATTTAAATTTTGAAGTTGACTTGAGAACTCCATTTGTTAAATGAATCAAGCAACTTAATTTTGTTTAATTTTCTTAAACACAGAGGCAATGTTGCCAACATTTGTACGAAAAGCAAAATATAAAAATATTTGACATATTTCTTTTATGTTAAAAATTATTTTTAAGTCATAATTAAAGAAAGAGTTTAAAAATAAATAAAAATTATTTGATAATCAAATAAAGTTGTTCTTAAAATTATGAAGGGAGGAACATGGAATAATTTTAAATTAGGGTAAAATATTAGAGTAATTAATAAAATTTATAAATAAAAATTTAGAATAAAGATAAAATTATGAGGACTCCAAAAAGTTAACATACATCTTAAAAAGAATTTCTCATAGGAGCTTTTATTTCTTTTTTATTATTTAAAAAATCCTTTTATAATTAAAGTTTTATGTTTAGCTAAATTTTGACTTGTAAGAAAAAATTAAAAATAAAAGCTTCCAATCACACATATATATATATATATAAAAGGAAAGACAGTTTGTGTTGTGATAAAACTAAAGGGCATGGAAAGTTATTTAACAAAAAAAAAAAAACTAAAGGGCATGGAACATTTAATGGTGTTAAAACCGACACATCGTTTTTCTTTTTTAAATAATTATTATTATCATTCAGGAAAAAAAAATAATTATTATAACCAGGGGAAAAATCAAAGAAAAACCTAAATATGAAGATCGTCGGCCATTGTATTCATAAATGAAATTTGGGGAAACATGAGGAGTTTATAAATTTAGGTATGGGTTAGGATTTGAAGGAAATAAAGAATTTGCTTGGAAAACCAAAATTAAGCATGTGAACTTCTATAAGAGCATGGTGTGTTATCATTGTGCCAATATAGGACATCTAAAATTTGGATAAAAGCTATTCAAAAGAATATATCATATATTAAAAATAGTTTTGATTCTGGATGCAAGGTAAAACAAATCTGAATTAGAAAAGATGAGTTTTCTAATTTTGTTGCAAAGAGAAAGGGACTCAAGCTAATCTGGATTCCCAAATCTAATTATGGATTTAAGAATGCAAGTTGGAGTGAGGGGGAAGAGCTCATAATACCTTGACAATGACTGTTCTAAGAATATGACAAGAGATATTTTCAAAATTTTCTCACTCAAACTATTCCAATATGGATGTGTGACTTTTTGTGACAACTACAATGGTGAAACTATAGGCATAAGTAAAGTTGTAAGTAACTTACACACTCCCTTGATAATGTTTATTATGTCAAGGGATTAATGCATAATGTTAAGTTGAAAATCATTGTTGTATATGGTCATGACATTGGTAGTATATCAACTTAATCTTGTGTGTTTGCTGATGTGCTGAATTTTGACATTACTAAGCTCTTTTTTTTTCATAATTTGAGCTAGAAAAATTATTTTTTAATTATACTAGTTGCAATTGAAAGCTAAGATGATGAAGTTTGATTCTGAAAATTTTCATAATTTTTTCTTAACCCCATTGTTCCCAGAAATTTTGTGAAATTGGGGTTCAATTTTATATTCTATTTTGAACTAGTTAAATTTAAAGAGTCATAACTTGAGTTATACAAATTCTTTCTTCATGAAAACAATGGCATTGAAAATCTATCTTAATATGGAAAATTTCTGAATTTTTGGATGAGTATACTATTCTTAGTTGATCTGTCAACGTGACTGGAATGTTATTAGATAGCGTACTTTAACTAGTTATATCTTGAATTGTGGAACTTCAATTTAAGTGATCTATACTTTTGTTGGAAAGCTTGAGATTTGTACTGTAATATATAAAAAAATCAGAGCTTTTGGTATTATCATGCATTCCTAATGTTAAATGGAGTTTACTAGTTTTCTAAAACAAAAACAAAAATGATTGAGAATTTTTTTCCTCCCCAACGATTGGCTAGTTAAGATAACTTGATCTTTCATGATAGAGATTCTTGTGCATAAATATCTTTGAGTTGTCACAATCAATTGTGTTTACTATTTAAGCATAACCATCACGATTTATCTTATCACCTTAATCATGACTCTTTCTAACCACAAATATTTATTTAGCTTGAGCAACTTGTTAAACCCAATATTTTCTTGATTGAATGATATTTCTAGAGTGCATGACTTGATCTTGTGGTAAGTAGAGTGTTGGAGTGCACATATATTGTTTATATGAGATATGTGGGAAAAGACAATCTAGAACTTATACGATTGAGGCTCAAGACTCACTATTGGATTACTCTATGGGATCACTAAAAAGGAAATAGGCCAACTGTAAGAACCTGTACCGTTAATTAAGGAAATTAATTAATTAAATATGAGAATTAAGAAATAATTCTATAATTGACCCTAATAATTATTATGAGGCTCTAATAATTATAGTAAGTGAGTAATAATGCTGAAAGTCGCTTTTCGGACGAAAAGCGCAGATACCGGTTCTGCTAGTCGGTATAAATGCGTACCGAAAAAGTATCCCGGAAAATTATTATAAGTGCATGATAATTCCTAGAATAATATATAGGACTTGTAAAACGAGTTTCAAGTTAAAATAATGAGAACTGGTGCCAGAAACTGATACTGGCTATGAAAAGCGTGTATCGGAAAGGTGCTCCAAAAAATATAATAAAAATATGATAATTCTTGTAAAATTGAGTAGGTTAAGATCCTAAGTTTGAGATTAAAATGCTAAGCGTAGCAATTAAAGTTAATACTGAGTGTTAAATGCTTAAGTGACTATATATAGGCTTTTTAAGGCACAAATCCCTAGACACTCAGATTTCCTACGTGACTTGTTGAGGGTGGCTGACCAGAATACTGTTCTATTGGTCTTCTCCTCCATTTCTT